TATATGAAATACATGAACACAAAATATAGTGAGTGAACTTATGATGATGGGTAGAAGAAGAAGAAGAAGATGAAGCACATGATGAACAACACCAAACCTTGTTCATCAACAGTATCATCCATCTTGATTTGACCTTCACGTTAACCAAACTTGCATCACTCTCTTCTTTAACTACTCATCTTTTCTTCACATTTTGTTGTTGTTTTGTTAAACAACCTTCTTCCACACCTACCATGGATTTGGACACCTTTTTTCTTTTTTCTTACTTATTGGAACTATTATATGATTCCGAGCTTCTTTCACAACACCAAACAATTTGTTGCAGGAATGAATCGAAATTATAACGAACGTGAGATTTCACGATCTATTTTTTTGGGGCTCTAACATCCTCGTTGACACACCATCCAATGTATGACTCTAATACCATTTGTAACAGTTCAAGCCCACCGCTAGTAAATAAATATGACCAGTGTCTCATATCGTCGATGACTGACTTTGATACCATTTGTAACAACTCAAACCCATCTCTAATAGATATTGTCCGTTTTAGCTCATTATGTATCGCTGTCAGTCTCACGGTTTTAAAACGCATTTGTTAGGGAAATGTTTCCACCTCCTTACAAGGAATGTTTTGTTTTGTTCTTCTCTCTCCCACTGATGTGGGATCTCACTGTTATTGTCTATACGGACAAGGTGTAACTCTCTTTACAATAGTTCAACCATAGAAACTTTGAAATTAAATGTGTTTAGTTTAGAATTTTTCGAGGAAACATGTGATGGAAAACAAAAACATCCTTAAAGAATCTATGTTGGTTTGTGAGAATTTTTTTCACTCTTAGAATCAGCTCAAGACAAGTAGATAAAATGGTCAAGTTACACACGAAATGTCCTAGTTTTCAAGGATTGAATCAGATTCCAAATCACAATCCGAATCCTAGACATGAAACATTACAACATAATTTCTAAGTAAAATAAAAAACCCGACTCAAAAATAAAAAATTCCTTTATAAAAGAAAAAGATAAATTAATTATTTAAATCCCAAAATTAAAGCACCCATCACATAAACTTGATAATCTAAGTTCATTGATCATGGACAATGAAAAGCATACTCCAAGTTCGAGTGAATTTCTATGATAAATGTCATAATTCATTTTATTTAAAAGATAAATAAATAAATAAATAAATAAATAAATTTATATGGGCGTGACATGATTATTGATGTATTGCCATTAATTTTTAAATTCAAGTATGGACCCAATCAATTACCTCCATACATTCGAACTTTAAAATAAAAATAAATAAATAATAATAATATATTTTTTTAATTTTTTTTTTTTTTTTATATAAACTTAAAGAAAACAATAAAAGGAAGATATATTTGGTAGCCAGGTTAAGAAATTGTTTTATGTGCTTTAGAATTAAAAAAAAAAATCATTTTCTATAAAATAAATAAATAAATACCCTTAAACTTTTTTTAAGTAGTTTTTGGAAGGCTGTTATTATTAATTAATTAATTGTTTACAGCTAAAAATTATTTTTGATTTCTTAAAAATTAATATATATATATATATATATATATGGATTGTATTTTTAATAATAAAATTAGCCTTTTATGTTAAATCTTATGTTGTTTTTTTCTTTTTCCTCTTTTTTAAAAAGCGGTTGTTTCTATTAACGACAAAATGAATTAATGCAAAACGCAGCCATAATTAAAAAAAATTAGAAAAAAATTCAAAAAGAAAAATAAATAAATAATATATATATTTTTAATGTAACATAAGTTCATTTTTTTTTTTAATTTTAAACAAAAACTAAAAAAAAAAAAAAAAAAAAAAAAAAAAAAAAAAAAAAAAAAAAAAAAAAAA